CTTCTGTTCTAGACATCGAATTCTCCTCTCCGCTGGATGCCGTCTGTGACGAGGATCGACGCTTCTCAGCGCTCTTTGCGCCTCGAGCTGTCGCACCCTGCGCCTCCATAGAGTCTCTCGGCTCGTACTCTTCTCCTTCAGCCTCCTCTCTTGGCCTCAACAGGCACGAAACATTTGGCTCCTAATGAGGTCTCCTCTCCCCATCTCGGATGTAAATATTCATTTGTGTGTCAGGGTTCGTGTATATTCCACCGGCGCTCTCTCACATCTTTCTCTTTAGACTCTTCTATTGCTTCTTGCTCATCTGTACCTGTTGCCAATGTGTAACCCAAATAGAGTTTATTCAACCTTTTACGTTACCCTCCATTCGATCACATAAAAAACTAACGTCGCGTATCTGGAATTTTGCACCTTAAATCTTGAGATCCACAAATGCAAATCAACTTCAAGGGCAGCTTTTTCGATTACACATGACTGTCATGACGAGGACTAATAAATCCACCGAATAAAGAACGTAAACATCTCCCAACTTAAACATTGCTCCAAAGTTGTCTCATGTCATCGCTCAGCCTGATTATCGTGGTCTGAACTAGATTAACTTGCGAAAATCTGGAACCCAGTTCTAGTGCAAACTTGATGTGAAAGTGGGTATTTAAGAGCGTGGAAAGAAGTGTGCCAAAACTTCCCAAGAATAGCAAAGCTAATCATGCGAGTGTGTCATCGAGTTCGTCCTCCACAATGGGAGGGTTAACATGGTTGCTGTTTAGCAAGGGTGTGCTTAACTTGACCATTGTCACAAAGCCCTGCTTGAGCAAGCGAGCTGTGGCTGTTTGAATTGAAAAGGAAACGGAACTTGGCAATCACGGAGAAAGACACCACAGCGCGAGGAGATTATCAATAGCTGTCGCGCGGAGAGCCAGCCTGTCTGATTTGAAGAACAATAAACACAAATGTAGTAATATTTAATCCATCAAAACCTTGATATGGTCTGGATGTTGAGTGTGTAGGAGCAGCAGATAGACCACTATCAAAACACAAGGCAATAAATGACGGCAGTTACGCGCCATGACGCGAGGAAGGTGATTATTTTAACGACCAAGTTCAGCCAGCGCAAAATGGAGTGACCAGTACAATAGTGTTTGCGATAACGGCAAGCTCGATTGGCCAATAGCACTTCGAGTCGCCTAACGACCATTAAATCAGCGTTGTGCTTACCTTCTTTTCCAAACCTCGAACTCAGATTGGAAGTCAGAGCACTGCACATAATTTTAACTCTCAACTTTGACTACTACTTGAGCTTGTTGCACTGATGATGTGCTTTATGAGACCCATTGCATTGCGCATGCTTCATGCAATTGCCATACCCTTAATTTCTAGATCTTTGCTTTAGGCATACATAATTCAGCATGCGACTCGAAAATACCGGACAAGTACCAGTAAGAAATTCATTTAATCGCCTTGCCACAAAATTTCATTCGTCGTGACGCAATCAAGAAAGCTCTAGGCTTTGCAGGACACCACACGATGAGACAGCATGCTACATGGAGACAAGCCGTCCTGCTACATCAACTTGCCAGATTTCCTCCCTGAAAACACGACTTCGACGAACCCGATCAAAAACTACTGTTTTTACAGAGCTCGATTTGCGCCCACTTTCTAACTTTGTAGGTTGGTAACCTGTATCACACTCTACACATGTTTGCATACAAATGTTAGTAAAGGTCATCGAACAGCTTTCGTAGAACAGTAGCTCGGACACTAGATGAGATGAATAAAAAACAATTAACCACCCACGTAAGCAGATTATGCGTTTTACAGTACTCCAATGGCCATTCATAACATGCCACAAGCCAACGATACTTCACAATATGCTAAGTTTAAACCGCTAACTGGATTGAATAATAATTAGAAAAACCAAACATGGGAAACACAATCTGAGCAGGAATCAAAATGAATGCCCGAGCTTCTAATTAGTTGTCAGATTTCAAGTGATAACATTGTACGTAAGGGCCAAAATATTTGACTGAAAACACCTAGATCAACTTCATCATGCCAAATAAGGCAGGCGACCAATCTTATGGACAAAAAGTAGCAAGCTTCATTGCCATTAGCATACGAAACCAAACTCCGAAGTTGTCGCCCATAATCAAGATCATTGTCCAAGCATCTATGGGTGTGATTAAAAGTGCTGTAACGCAGCTTGACAAATCGAAAAAGCATTGTCGCTCAAACACCCATTTAAATAAATGCGAGAATACAGACAGCTATTCATCGGACAAACCGAACAGCTTGTTCCCACAAGTTCCTGCTGCACCCAGCAGCATTTCACGAAGGCGGATATTTTAAGTACTTCGACATGGGACAATGGAATACAGTGGAGCACTAGCTGGTAACAATAAAGAATCTATGTTTGTGAAGTGGCATCTCCGCTAATAGGGCAGTAAAATCGCCGGACAACTGGAACCGTCAGGACGAAAGGATGCGGCGCACCTCAACCCACGTGATCATCCCAAAAATGTTAGAACCAGACACCATAAATATACTACACCAGCCAAACCTAAACTACTCATTGATAGCGAGCAAAGATTATTGGAACACACAATGGGTACCAAGGGTCTTTTTACAAGTAATTTTGAGGAAAGCACAGTCACGAAAATAATAACAAAGTGGGTTCAGACCGATACCTACAAGTGTATTTCTTGGTTATGTTCCTAAACTTAACCGCGATCAACGATTGACGAATTACAAAAGTAAAATCCCACTTGAGCTCTCAAATACAGTATTGTATAATGTATTCTCGAAGGATATGCCTTCACCGTCCTATATGAGCATCAATGAGACCGCAACAACTTCAAGGCGACCATGTACGTAAATATAGAATAGGAGTAAGCACATCGAACCCACAAGACAGGAAAACTCTAATTAAATCAAAGAAGGCTTGGGCTGCCCAGCATTCTCCTAGAGAGGCGAACCGTCAACTTCCGACAGCACGGAGTCTTGTTGCACACGGTCACTCGCATTGCGGAACCATGGTGTCTCCTTCCACAGAAACCAAAGTGATGCGGCCCAGAGGGCAACGTTGGAGAAACCAAACACCTTAATATGCAGGCAAAGACTTAGCAAAAGCGAAAGGATAAATGAACTCCCTAGTAAAAAATTGTACCTAGATGAGTGGCTAGGATTCATAAATAAGGCCTTCTACATTCAACAAGCATAAATCAGCAGTCGTCAAAGTTAAACTGAAACGAATAGAGCCAATGTGTAAACAACTCGACTGAGCTAAAACAGACAACGAAAATTACTGAGCAATATATGCTAGGGCCATAGGGATAGGTTGAAAATAAGCATAAAAGTACGGTGTTGTCTAGGGAATAAAGTCACATGAGCAAAATGGGCGTTGCAAAGTACAGTCCTAAAACCTTAGACAAAATGAAACCTAGTGTTTCAACACCTACCAAGGATATGTTCAAGCCGGCATAGCCTTGTGGAGCTTCAATTTGGCAATTTTCTTGTGTGCATAGCTCCCTTTTGATTACTTCCTCAGATGTGTAACGCTTTAAGTGATCAACATGCCTTGCCCAAACCGTGGCAGCGATAAACCACAAGATAACAATGAAAATACTCAGTACAAAATCCTACGGAATGAAGCAGCATAAGCAAACCTACCGCCTTCCTGTAAAGCACATTTGAGCCATATTTATCGATGAAGACAGTGTATAAGACTAAGATTCCAATGCAATACAGGGACGCCATAACTCCAGTGAATACATAAAACTGCGCGCCGGACGAGAAATCCCCATAGAGAGGGAAATTAAGGCGGCGAATGGAAGCGGGTACTTCCAAAGAATCCAATCTGTGTATAAATAAGTGTCGCGATATTCACTTACGCAAACGGATAAGAGAAATTCAAAATTCCCACTGAAGCATCACAACTGGGTGCACATATTTTTATATGTCCGCAGAAACTTATCGTTGATGCAAATGCAAAGATGGCGAAAAGCTACCCTAGGAATGTACAAAAAATGTGTCGAACCAGTTGCAGAATCCTTACAAAACCTCGAGGCTCCTTTAGAACGTCACACCTAGCCGACTAAACTACATCGTTGTATTTAGTTAAAAATACCAGTTGACGCTGATCCATGGAAAAGCGGAAGCGAAAATCTTCCTCACCGGTGAAAAACTAGGCTTCTAATAGCAAATGCTAATCTTCAGCATATATGTTCGACCAATAAGAACCTCCCTTAAATGATTT